TTAGCGAACCATTTTATAGTGGAAACTCTTCTAATATTCCACTCTCTCTACTACTACCAACTCCTCTAGTATAATAATACTAGTAGTATATTGGCGTCGACATTACTAGTAAAGACATTACTCCTTTATCCTATAATTTATAGCGATCTCGTACCACTTTAGCGTCTCTAAGGACCTCTCCTAGAACCTTATCTATATTAGCTACGCCCTTCTTTATAAGGCTATTCCATTTCCTTATATTAGGTAAGAATAGAGCTAAATAGCTATAAAGATTCCCTACGTAGAGAGATCCTTTGTTAGGATAGCTAGTAATATGGTAAACCCACTTTATAGTGATTATAGTGAGTGAGTCTCCTAGGACCTTCTTTATAATAGCTTTATTAACATTACTAACGCGTTAACGCTAACTAGCACTTATTTTAGTAGATCCTCCTCCTCCTAAACGACGCGTTGGCGCCTCTACAACCCTCTCTACTAATATAGGTACTAGCGTAAGTGCCTTCCACTTAAAAACCGCCTTTCTAGAGACGTCTAAAAATCGAGGATCGAATGGCTTATTCTCGATAGTGCGCTCCTACTAGAACCTCTTAAAATTCTCATATTGCTTATTGGTGCTATAGTTAATCGTCTTAAGCACTTTATTCTTCCTCTTAACCGTTAATCGTACGCTAAAATAGTTAGGAATAAGCTCCTTATCATTACGAGAATATTTGTTAGCTATTTGTAGTCGAGTACTCGTTAAAAAGTTATCGATTTATAACTAATAGGCCGCCGCGATATCGGCGCTATACTATAATATCTTATCGATATGAGTGTTTATAGAAATCTCTATAGGATAGGTATTCTCGTCGTATTCTAGGGTTAGTGAGATATCCTATAATGATTTCGTAATTTTCCGCTTTTTACTAGCCCTTTTACTAACTACCTCTCTTTGCGTAGAGGGTCCTAGTAAGCCTAGGACCTTATTTAACGATTTATTATTATTACTAAGTTCCCACGATTTTATTTAGTTAGTATATAATAGCGCGACGCGTGCCAATTCACCTACACCAAAGTACTATTCTCGTGAAGTAAATATCGCGTTATCCTCCTCTTGCTACGCCTCCTCCGCCTTAATACTCGGTTATATAGGATCCTCCTCCTCCTTCTCATTATGTAACGATTTACCACTAGAAAGAGACTCTATAGGCGTTGCGGTGGTAGGAGTGGATCGGGAAGAGATATAGGTCAATTTAAGTCTTTTTAGTTAGTATTTTAGTGGACCTAGGATTAATCGTATAGGCTTTTTGGCGGTATTTACACGCGTAGGAGCTGATGATAAGGACTTCCTAGCATCATTACGACAGTTATTGATCCTCAACCTGTCGATTGAGGTGCTCCTCGCCGCAATACTCGAAAAAGTGGTGGTATTGTCACCCAATTCATTCCGCACCTCCTGGAGTCGCCGCGACGGCGTTTTGGTACGAGAAGGACGCGTTTCCATACTAAACAGAGAATTCTCTATCGATTATAAGCAACAACGACTAAATTTGATGAGGATTTGGCCCTGTACGAAGCAATCCTGTCTGCCTACCAAAAATGCCATATGGCGGTGTGATGCGGCGGCTAAACCACGGATATTTGCCTACTCGAAAATCACAATATAACAAGAATCTTAAGCCAAGGAAAGAAAAGAAGGAAGCTCGTCCTACCGCCGTACGTGTAGTAGAAGTAATCTCCGCTAGTAGTTTTACGGTCGTCAGAGGAACTATCGATAGAGTAATGTCACGTGATTCAGCCTTAGTGAGAGTCGCTGGTAGTCGACCAAGACTTCATACGGGTTCAACCCGTGACATCTATAAAAGGTAGAACGGGGCCTTTCTCGCTCGTATTAAAGGCGCTATACTACGAAGGACGAAAACGCCTTTACTATATTACCGCTTTTTATTACCCTCCGTCTTCCTAGGGACTATAAACAAGACGCCTCTTTAGGCGCTAGGGCCGATCACCAACAATAATTTCTAATAGTCGCGGCAAGCCGAGCCCCGACTGGTGTCGCACTATCCGCGCCTTAAGGCGCCTTGACCATTAAGCCTTACGGAGCTACGTGTACTTCCGGCTCGTGCGCAAAGGGTAAGCAGAGGGGGAGCAGGGGATGAGCCGGGGGTGAGCAGGGGGTGGGCAAGGGTGAGCACAAGGCGGCGTCACCCGGATCCCGATCGGGGTTGAGCTCGTGGCAGATTTAATTCGCCTTGGCACAACTGTTCGAACAAAGGGTCCTCAGGTTGAGGGACATTACGCCTCACCGCATCAGCCAGACCAGTCAAATACAGACTATCCGGCACGTCGGATATGCCATTCGTCCCTATTACTTGGACTTCGGCATTTTCGATGAGATGCGGAAACGTTGTAGCCCCAGTAATCAAGATCCGAACGGCCTTCGACCAGGATCCCAATCGCCCAAGACAGCGGCGAGTGTCGGACCACACCCCACGATTCGAATTGGCAATGTGCCGTTTATTGGGAATTTGCATTAACTTGTGTCTCCGAAGTTGGTAAGCATGTAAGCAGAGGTTTTGAGAAGTAGCACTGAGCACCTCCAATTGTTGAAACTCGTCTAAGATAATGGTATCTGCACCAATTGTTAGAAAAGTCGCCCTATCTCGCTTTACTCGCCAGTAATACGTACCTTCGCTGTTTACCCCTTCGCACATGATAGTCCTGGCACTGTGAATGGCGTTCATTAACCAAGCAGAATGTGCCTTGATCCTGTAACGGCTAAATTCAATGCATTGAATCGTAAGCTCATCTTCTACGTCGGAGACTAGCTTTTCAGATCCAAATATCTGGCCTAGAAGAGCCAGTACCCGTCGGAGATGGTCGCCTGATTTGTATCTGTAGTCCGAATTCGATGCAAGACAGAAGACTGGATTTTCGGCATTATGTGGTGCTGCGATTGCAGTCACTGTGTCTCCACCCTTTTTGAAATCGCACACATACGAAAGCTGATCAAGGAAATAGCGCCACATTTTTCCTGGCTCTTCTAATCCACCCTCTGACTTCAAATCAGGAAATTGTACTCCACGGGCAGGATCTATCACCTTGAGAAGAGTCAGAGGCTCATGAAAGCGACGAAGAAGTCTGCCGTTTGCATCGGGCGGATAGAGCACTGTGGATCTGGAAAAGGCCATCTATACTGGGGACAAATGGACCCGTGGTGCTGGTTCCCATCAAAGAGAAGCGAGGAAAGAACTACAGCCTTTACTGAATAGTCAGCCAAGGTTTATATACAGGGAAGTCAATCTGTGTCGGTCAATGAGTGAACTACCCAGGAAAATGGCCCGGCAAAACGCTAAAACCTTGATTGATCACAGCTATATCTCAATTGACCACTCTCAGCTCGAAAATCAAACGGTGCAGGACTTCCAACTTTACCTCAGAGTCTTGTAATTGCCACTCGTGCCAAGCGAAGTACTTTTATCAGTCTCAAGGATATTGGGCTTGTCTTTCAGCAATGGCGTCCCAGAGGACAGAAAAGGCTCAAAAAGTCAACGACACCAACGACTGTAACGAGCAGCTTACTTTGCCCCTCCATATCGGTAAAAATATTCAATGACATACAGTGTGGAGCCCATGAAGAGAAGCATGTGGAAATCGAGGGCTTCTTGGGCAAATGAAGGCATGTTTTTGGGTCAGTACATGATACGTTTTGAGGGTCCCCACTCAAAGAGGCATGAAATTTGCTCACACATGACCATTGTAGCCACAGGGTACGAAACCTTGCTCGATCTCATCGATGTGGGATCTAAATCACACTAAGTCTGATCACTATATGTTGCCGAACCCTTGCTCAAGGTGTACGCATCGGGGAACGTGGTTGTTAATGACTGGCGTTCGAAGCACACTTTCTTGCAGACAGCTGAATGCACCGCGAAGAATTGGGCGACATGTCAAATTGCGGCTGCATTGATTTTAGATTAGGGTATTTGGCATGATATCTATCCATAGTGAAATTTAGCATCTCTCTTCTCCACTCATCATCATGCAGTCTTTTACAGGATTCGTATTGGTGTTTTGACACTGCGAACGAAGAAGTTTTTCAAGGCGTTTACGTTCTCCAAAGACCATTAAGAAAGTCACAGTCATGAAAGTATCTACTAAGCATCATGCTCTACCTCCACCACCCTCAGGGTCTTGTGGTCGCCAAGCGCATGATGCGACTCGCTAATCAGTTGTCAAGCCAGGAAGGGCGGCCCGGCGCTTCCGTGGGAGGGCAACCAATAGGATGGATCATGCCATTCTATTCTATCAGCCTCACTAACCTGAATGTACTCTGATAATGAGAAATGCAATGCGTTGTCAATCTCACCATGGGCCACTGGCGGCAGGGAAGGGTCAGAGTAGAAATACTACGAGTTTTTTCCGGCTAGGCACAATACATTATTCATAGCAAGACTTCAAATTTCCTCCTGTCAGTGGTTGCGGACAACTGATTTATGAGGCTGATGCATCCGATGAAAGATGAACCTGATGAAGTTTCGATGTCTGCCCTCCCAAGATGATTTATAATGTTCCCTATCAAATCACTCCGGACTTTGGGGCAGGCAGATGATCCTTAAGGTGTAAAATTTGTCCGTAGCGCATTTGCGAGTTTTAGTGGAAGAGATATGTACCAAGCTCGGGTCCGAGTAGGTAGGTTCGTTGTTCGGAGTGTGACAGGCATTATCTGATCTAGAATGCGCTTTGAATACATTTGGGACGTATTCTTGCAGTGTCTTCGCCAATAGAGTTTACATCCAGCTGCTTAGTATCATGTCGCGAAGCCTACTGACGCACCATGACCCCTCATTTGTAGGATACTCCTCGACTATAAATCAAAGATAGCATCTTTTCATTCTTAGGCTGTTGTCATCTCCGATTAAGACACAATTATTTTGGACCATCATGCTGAATTGGCCTAGAAGTTGAGCTTGTTATTTTTCACTCAATTCAATCGAAAGACCTTTACGGCAATCATCCAAATGGCACGGAAGAAGGTCGCCGAGCCTAAGCAAGAGACGAGGCGCTCATTCGTCTTCCCGTGGCTGCATAAAGATGTCGAAAATGCAGTATCTCACAGCATGACCTGTACATGGGTTCGACGAAGTGACGGCGACAAAAGTGCCAACAGAGAATATACCTCTCACGTCATGGGCAAGTTCGAATGCGTCGAAACCGCGTGCAGTACCGATGGCTGGAGCGGCAAGAAAGTGGCTATACGAATAAGAGGCTACACGAATAATGGGTACAACGCGATAGTCTTCAATCAGCGTTGCAGGAGATGCGAACAGCTCGGAACTTTCACTCTGGACAAGGCAGCTTATATCGAACGAATTGCATACAGAGTTCAGAAGTGGGCCGGAGTTCAAGAAGTGGAACCACCATATTACGATGAAAAGAAAGGCCCACCTCACAGGGAAGATCTCTGCGAAGGCTGTAAGAAAGGGGTATGTAAACAGAAAGATGACTGGCAGGGAACAGGTATTCCGAGTGCCAAGCCCTTGGTCATGTGAATCAGATACTTTGATGCAACGCGATAAGCAAAGCTTCCTCCACCGCTCACGCCCTCTTAGTTAGTCCTTATTACTACGGGTGACCGATTTACGCACACTTCTCTGTGTCAAAGGCTGCGACTGAGCTTGATGATAAATAGTGTGAAACTGATCGATCGTATTCGACGACAAAGCCGACGATTTGTTGGCCACCTTTCAATTGCCTAGGAAGACCTCCGGGTAGGTCCCTTAGATACCACAAATTGATATTAGCTTGGGAAATTTAGGCCTGTTCTCTGGTCCACAGTTCTGGCGAGTGTAGGATAACCCTGGTGCCACGGGACGTGTTCGCAAGTTTTCGCGCTAAAAGCAAGTACCAGAATTTAGCGCATGTTGAAAACCCCATTTTCGGCTCCCTAGTTTCTCTTTGGTCAGTGTTATCCCCAAAAGCCTGAGTGCGAAGAAGCCATTCAATTTGAGACTTCTGACCGCACCCTTCTGCAACCTAAGATCTATCCTCGATATAGTGCCTTCGGTCGAAATGACAGTCACCATCACTGGAGCTCCATGGGTTTTCCAAACACCTCTCTAACCATGAGTAGTGGAAAGCGTCGACAAAAAGTTATGTTCACAACCCTTTTTCTATGACCCCATCGTTTCTGTGGTCTAATTGCCTGACCAATCGTGCCAGACTCTTGAATCGCTATTTATTAATCCAGGTAAATAAGTCCTCGTCAATATTTGTGCTATTCCAATCCAAGTTTTTAAAATCTAGATCCTGCAAGCCAATTGCTGCAACATCCTGTGTTTCCGACTGGGAATGGATGGGAGCACATTCGAGTACACCAAGCTGATAGTTGATGAGCCGACGACGCAGGTCACCATAAGTTTGAGCCAGATTGCCCACAGACGTGTTAAAGAGATGCCGGACTACTTCTTCAAACTTCTCTCCAGACTTGGGCAAAACTTCACACCAGCTGTGACGGGTTATTAGAGCGTTCATGAACCTCTGAAGCAGTACCAACCTAGACTCTTTCAATGATTTGCCGAGTACGAGGCATATGCCAAAACCAAGTCTCATTTCCAAGTTTCGATAACGAGAGCCTGCAGTAATCATCTCATGAACCGTTATTGTGGCCTGGGAGCGATCGAAACCTGGTATGCCCGACAGACATACCTCATCAACAATGCTGCTTTCTGTTGAATAGCCCTTTTGTGAGCGATGTTCCGCGAGCAGGATACAAGCGCACCTCCGCACCATGGTTGACTACTGGTCAATACACTTGGCTTGGAGATAAAGGCTAATAATCTGCGCCCCTTGTTTATGTGAACCACCAGTGGTCGGAGACATCCCATACGTCCAAAAGGTACTGGGATCATCCAACCATTCTTTGTTCTTCTGTTGAAGCAATTCTAAGGTCGCTTCTTCTGGTCCCTTGAAGTGGAGCAATTTGTTCAGTCGTGCTTGTTGATTATGTCCTTTGTCCACGATTTTGTATTTCACTAGGCTTCCCAGCTTTTTGTTCGATTGCAGTTCTTCTCGGATTCGGTCTAGCAGGTTCTCGATCTCCAAGGCCGACTGCTTCAAGTCAATTACAGTCACCGAACGCGAAGACATAATCATGATCACCTGGCTTGGGTCGTCTTTGAGAAGCGATTCCACGGCAGAAAGTGCTGACATTTTCAATCTGACAACGTTCAATGGAGCTAAAACAAAATGATTTGAAGTTAGTTTATGGGTGATTGATGGTGTACTATGGTGTTCCTGTGGAGAATGAAGCTCGCGGTCTCAAAACCGAGTGTGAATAATTCCTCGCAACGCATATATATTCGAAAATCCTAGATGACCTTAATTCGGGGCCACTACCATCAGCTGAGACATGGGCGTATCGCCATGAACAGTACATCTTCTATGGCTGCGTCAACACCCTGTGATCAATCATGCCTAACGATATTACGATACTTCTATCTACAACCAACCAGGTCTCGACTCTTGAGCAGTAGGTAATGACTTGGACAAAAGTCGAGTGCCTCCTGTATTCGTTGTGTACGCAGTCAGGAGATCATCCTATCACCCTCTGGTACGCAATTCTTTGTTCATTCATGAAATGAACACCGACGCTGTGCCAAATTTCGAGCAGCCGGCCCCACCAATGATGAACCTCGTAAGGCACCAAACCAGTGAAAAATGGCACCTCAGCTGTCAAAAGTGCTCGAGCCTGCAGTGTAATCCCTTTGATGATGATACCTGTAAGGTTGGGCAGCAACTTCTGCCTCCAACTTCGGATGGAATCTCGGGTAAATAGCGTACACGAATGAGAACGACGCATTAAGCCTGGATCTGGCATGAAAGGAGTTCGAAAGTTCGTCTACGGAGTTAGGCACGCTTTGACCCTTGTCTCAGTAGCCCCCTAGTTGGGGCAGACCATGTGTGCACCGATGATTGGAGTGACTTGCACGAATCTCGCAGAGATGTGAGTTCCTGGAAAGACGTATCTGTTGCCCAAGAACGCAAGGAGGGAGGAAGCTTTGCGAAAGCATCGTTGGAGATAGCTACGATGCGTCGGCGAGGTGGTCTCTTAGATTAGTAGTGTTTCAATGTGGGGGCAAGGCCTTTGATCGATCGGCTCTTGACATATCTGCAGGATGTCATGTATGGATAAATGACTAACGAACCGTGATGGTCTTAGAGAAAGACATCAGTCACAAGTGATTCGTAATTTACTTCAAGGCATGAGGAGAAACACTGTGCAAATAACTAATCAGAGGGTGTACTTGCAGAGACCGTGAAGATACAACATTTATGGACTGTCTGCTGTCTAGATCTCTCACCCCTGTTTGTTGATCCCTGCTTATTGACTGGGAAAATCGATGGAACGTTGGCGATGGCGATAAGGGTGTAATTTGCCCTACTAGTGCACCATCACTTGAAGAGGTGGAGGCCAAGCAAATTGGCTCTAAATACACATTGAGAGTGGTCAATAAGGCTACAGCTGGCAGAAAAAGAAACTCCGTTCGGTAGAACCCTCATGGAGCGTGTCAGAGAACTGTAGGCACTCCACAAAGTTGGAAATGATCGATTTCGAAACCTAGATTTCTGCAGAGAAAAGGAGATCGAGAAAGGATGTCGATGTAAAGGTCAAGGTCAAGAGTTGTTGAGCGTCGATTAAGTGGAAACCAAATCGCATCTTCTGATAGCTGCATCTACGCCCATTTGCCCAGTAAAGCCATGATCCCGGCACCCAGCAGCATTGCGCCCACCATTAAAGCCAATTGCCGGTCATTGTTGGTTCGATCAGGGCTGAACAGGAAATCTCGAGCCATCAGTTCCACCAACCCCGTGTATATCAGTATGCCCGCAGAGATCGAATCCAGCAGCCCAGAGACGACATTGGCTTGGTAGCTGTTGGCATTGTATGTTGTTCGGACTCCCAGACCGGCCGCGATGGCAATAGGAGTGGTGAGACCATACCCAGCACAGAGCCACCAAGGCATCCAGCTCAGCCGCTTTGGAAACGGAATCGCAGACAATCGTGCGCCTATGCCGAGGCCTTCGAAGGACTGGTGGAACACGATGACGGGGTACAAGACCGAGAACTCAGAGCCTGATGCCCCCAAAGTCAATCCGATGATGACGCTATGGAATAGAATGCCGAACTCGAGAATCAGAAAAGCGGCGATCTGTTGCTTGAAAGCCAATGAGGCGGCATGCTCTTTCATTTCGTCAATGTTGAGTGTGTCAAGTTGGGAAGTCGACTGAACGTCTTTGCTCTGAGCCGGACTGCCTTCGCACGTGGATTGGCGCGACTGGTTTATCGCATGTTGGGGATCTGCTGCCCTTTCGGCATGGGAGGATCTTCGCCGTGAAAATGCATAACGGAGCATTGCAGCATCGACAGAGCCGGTGCGACGTTGGTTTTCCGACGGGTTCACGCTTTCATGTTGAGTGACGCCGTATGTCTTCCCAACGTAACGTTCTGCGATGAAGTCCATCAAGAACGTCAACATGACGGTCGACAGTGCTATTGCTGGCGGCCATGAATACCGAGCCCATGCACCAGTCATTCCAACACATGTGTTCTGACCAATCTCATAGTACGACGGGTCGAGTAGACTAAGACGCAAGCTGATCAGTTACATGTTATCTTGTGGCATGCGGCGTGGAATCGTCTTCGCAGAGAAGACTTACTGAATGAACCCTGTCGCAATGATCACACCGGTTCCAAAGTAGCGAGCAAAGAGGTAGACATACAACGGGATCCGCATCCGTGGTACTCTCGTTGCCAGGACTGGGAAGTATGTTACGGCCGACGATACAAGCATGATAACGAAGATGGAAGAGATGCGAGCCCCAAGGTTTCCATCGTAGGCATTAGGTGAAAACTGAAGGTAGCAAGTCAAATCTCTGGCTGGAGTGGTTTCGAGATTGACGCAAGTGGGATCGGAAATCCCAAATGGATAATGATGAGACATGTTGGTCGTCGCTCTGCGGGTAGAAATGTCTGGAGTTGAACGTTGGAGCAAGCTTTCTCATTAGGCGACGAATTCCGAAATCGAATGCTTGTTTTTCTTGACCAGTAGGCACAACAAAAGGTATATGTACCCAGCAGGCAATGAGGACCGCAGTTGCAGAGCACGGGTCGATGCGAAAACACAAGGTTTCAAGAAAACCACGTGGATGTAACGATCAGAATGAGGACCTTGAAGGCTTGCGTCACCCTCATCAGTTTTTGCAAGAAAAGTACGTACCTGGTGGTCGAGCTTAGCAACTCTGGCACTCAGAAGTTGTCTGAAAAAACACCCGTTGCACGCGTCCTTATTGTTAGTCGGACGAGCAACATTCCTCTAGGCTGGCTCTTGCTGATAAAGTGTTGGAAAGCGGCTCCACAGGTGGGAGCTCGACATCTTAAAATTACGCAGATAACCCATGGTCCTCAAAAAAACGTACAGGAAAACTTGTTGATTCCCACGATCCATCTGCTTGCATCAGAGCAATTCTGTAGTGCGAATCCCACGAGCACCCTGAGAGCGGGTGTTGCGACATGGGGTATCAACGGCTCCCTGACCAAGGTGCTGGGGAAATTGTTAAGAATAGTGGGAAGAAGGATCGCACAAGTAAACCTAAAGTATAAACTAGTGTTGGAAACTGTGTATGCAGTGTGTTGGCATTGTGATTGCATAATTTGCTTCCGTATATGTTCATGTAGTGTAAAAGCGCGTGTCTATCAGGGCTTCGGAAATGCGTAATGTGCTGATAGTACAGCTCTTCCCTCGAACGCGACACCCCAACGCCTCATTGTTTATGATCCTACAAACGATTGAGCGCTGGTATGACACAAAATTTTGAATGGGATTCCACGAGAGACGACATTCGAAGGACAGCAACAGATTTTCGTGATGCAGACCATTTCCGAAACTGCCGGGAAGCTTTCTTGGGACGGAATCTCTTGGGCGAGGTGGTTTGTCATCTTCGCCAGTGACTTCGTGATGAAGATTTACTCTCCTTCCATCTGCCATAGTACTCTGAGCAGACTTTTGAAGAGCGCAAACGACTTCCTCAACGACTCAAAGCAGGTGGAGTTGCACTTTCTAGCCGCCAATTCGGTGTTTGGCCATGAAAGCTTTGCGTTGCTGCTGCAATCGCAATGACAAACCCGCATTACCACGAATGATTCTGATGAAGATATCGTATACCTCGATGTGCAACGTGACGGTGACTCGGCTGCTTGTAGCCCAATCGTGAAGCCTCTCGAAGTCCATGAACTGCCGCAGAAGCGGCGTAATCTGAGACACGTACTTGTTGAACGCTTCATCTGTAGCGAAACCCGGCTCTTGCGAAAAATTGGTCTCAATCATCTGACATTGTTGGAGGACAGTGGTTAAGGTGATTGGCACTTGGTGGTCCTGCAACAGTTGACAAATATCGTCATCAGAATAGTTGATTTCTGCCTCAGAGATACGGAATGACCTTGCAATTTCCATACAGTTTCCGAGGTACGGGCGAACTACGTCTCCGTTCTTTTGCAAGAATATTGATGCCTTTGCGAGAAGGCACAGCTGACGTAGGATCCGGATTCGTCCTGGATGTCGAACACGCTGGCGAAGACATTCTAGCCACAGCTGTGGAATCATCAACGTTCCATCGGTCGCATTGCAAGTAAACGATGACGTGCTCTCCAGCTGATTCAAAAAGACTCGACGAGCTGCAGTCTTCGTTGTGAAAAGCTCTACTTGTGGGAGCCCTGCCTCTAGTTTGGAGATCCACGGCCGGTCCAGCCTTAGAAATTTGATGAAGTCCAGTCCCGATCCACTGAGGAATGCGGCAATGTGCAGCAATTGGCTTGCGACCGGAGAGCCATGCTCGAGACGATTTAGCGACACTTCAAACACTTCTCGAATCGAGCGACCTGGGCGAGGTTTGAAGTCTATGAATGCGAGCCTCGATTCCCAGTCGGGGTTGTTAGTATCTGGAAAAATTGATCATCGGCAGGTCTATCAGCTTCCAGTGTCAAGACCTGTCCCATGTATTGGATGGCTCTGCAAGCCGCAAGAGGGTGTCCGTCCAAGAGAGTGGCAGTCTGTTTCAAAGCTTGCTCTGAGATTGTGGGTAGTCGACTGCCCGGCGGAAGACTTTTCAGCACTCTCTGCATAATTTCAACAGTCTCGTCGAGATCCATCTTATCAATTGAGAACATCGCGATATCTCCTGGTGGATCTACGAACATGTACGGGTCACGCCCGGTGTAGATGATAGTCTGTGCAGTGGAGGGAAGGATGGACGTAAGGTTGCTCATGCTTTTCAGAGCATCGAGATCATCAATGAGGAAGAGTGGAGGACGACTCTCCTCGTCTCCAAGCCAGGCAATTAAAGCGTTCGCTCGTTCGCTGAGAGTCATGCTGGTCCAGGCTCCTTGTCTTGCAGAGAGCTTAACACTGTCACCTAGGATTTCCGCTCCTATGAAAGTGGCGATCCGGGTTAACGAGGCTTCATATCCTTCATCTGCTCTGGCATGACAGAGAAAGACATGTCGCTGGTCGAAATTAAGAAATGCTAAGTGAAGCAGAGGCTCGGTCCTCCTAATTTCCGTTCAGTGAGGATCAAATAAATTTGAGCAAGAGCTATGGAGACGCTTGTACCCTATACCTCCAACACCAGTCAATGCAACCAGAGTTTGTACTTCGCTTGCCTCTCCATCTTCAACCGCGGCGGATATAGCCTCGAGTATGGCCTCTCTGCCGACAAAACGACCGGGAAAACGTTTCAGAGAAGGTCCAATGTACAATTTGGATTCCTTTTCCAACGGCGCCCGAACGGATGTTACGTTGGGATGACCGGGAAGCTTTGAGGCAAGTGAGATTGAAGTCAGAATCTTGACTCCTTTGTTTCGGAGAACTAAAGGAGCCACTATACATTTTCTGGCTGATCCTGGTTATTTGCACCACCCCCGGTAAGCCTTGACTTAAGGTCATGGAGTCTCTTGATGACTTGGCTATATCCATTTGTGAACTTCGTTTCAAACTTGCAGATCATGTGATGATCAACATTCTGAATTTTCCCAGCGGTTTGACCAAGAAATTCCGCAGACTCCTGTGTTACAAGCTGGGCAAGTCAGTAATTCATCAGACCTCCAACGGAATGCTACTCTTACTAGACGATCTGTACTCAGACCAAACTTGGCAACTTGGGTTTTAGAGCTCTCGCACAGGCATTCGAATGGTGGTTTTAGTGGGAATAGTTAATCTGAGGCCGTCCTTGTAGACGCAGTATCAAGTTTCTCGTTGTCTTACGGCGTGGGCCTCTCATGGTTGCTGGTCACCAACTTTTCGTGTATTTTCGAGCTCACCGTCTTTACCATAGCAGGGGCCACGCCGCGGCATTAGCGAATTGGGCTTTGGATCAAAATTTACAAATAGAGAAAACTGTAGAATATCCTTAGAGTTGTCATGGTGGAATTGATGGTCAGAAAATCGTAACCTCGCTAGAGACACCCGCTTATCGATAAGCAAATTGATGGAAAGTTGATCGCTGCGGACATGTGAACGGATCAACAACCACATCTTGTCGTCCTGCGCGATTGGTTAGTCGTGGTCTACCTCTCCTTAATATTGACTGCTCCTTGTGCCCCGAGACAGTCCGTAACAATGCCAGGGGTCATTTCAACGACAAATGTTCCAAATTTACCCACAGACACCCCTACCACCACGTCTCTTGAAACACGCCCGGATCCCATAAGAATCAAGAACCGACGCAAACGCTACCTAGACCTGCACCCTGACTACTTCGACGCACACCTCGAACTCGCGGACCCTCTTCTCTACGACCGCCTGATCCGGCGCTTTCAAACCCCCGCCGAGCGCGAAGCCGAAGGCAGATCGAAAGGCTACTCGGGGATCCTCGAGGCCGACCTGTGGCGTAGCGAAGCGAAGCTGGACGCGCTCAAGCATCCGGACCCCAATAGTGTGTTTACTTATAAGCGCGGGCCGAACGGGGAGATTCTAGAAGAGGAGAAAGACGAGGTGCCTGCGACGAAGGAGGAGGGGTTGGCGCGGTGGAAGTGGGAGATGGAGTGCAGGTTTCTACGGGGTGGGGATACGGATTTTGATTATCAAGGCGAAGTGGATAATAGCGAGGCGTATGATGACCTGGTGAGTGAAGAGAGAGATGCGCAGGATCGATACTTTGATGGAGAGACGCCCGAGTTTGTGTCGAGGACGAGGACGGGGAGCACGAACGAAGGGGATGATGGAGACTTGAAGAAAGACTTGAAATTGGAAGGTGAGACAGGAATTCAGGATTTCTGACGATCATCGCCGATAACGAAGGCCTACCCAATACATCTTTCGAGAAGATATCAACCACGCTGGACTGCCACCTCCAAGCTCGAAAGACAAGGTTATCCAGAGAGGATATTTCCATCTCACGGGCCCCAATTTCAAGCAGTCAGACTGTCCCAAGGATCCATCAATCCTCTGAGACTACTCGCACACCGGACATGTGGCATTTGGCGAAATACATGCTTCCTCTCAGTATCACGCATGAATTCCTGCCACTCCCGAGTTGCAATCCACTGCTCCCTGGCCCTTCGGTCCCGGAATTTGAGCATCATGACGGTGTCATGGATCTCATCGCGCGAAAACGTCGACGTTGACGTTGAATCTTGAAATACTGTTTCAGGTATCTCAACTGAAAAAGTCTCGAACTTGGATATCAGCGGCGAGTGTGCGGCATACATGCGTACGCGCGCCAGCATTGTGTCTAATTGATGCGTTGATTGATCGGGCATTTTCCCTCGACGAACCAGGTCAGGGTCTGCGGGCTGCATGTTTCTCTTCATTTGAGAGGCGAAGAAGAAGAACATGCAGGTCAAGGGTCGTTCATTGTCAGGAAGCTGTGTTGATTGAAATTTGGTCATCTGTTCTTCTGACGTCTGCCTCGACGCGGCTGCCGTCTTTTCAAGCAACATGATGATGTCACTGAGAATGGCTGAGGGTGTACCGAAATGATATGTAGTATCTTATATACATGTAAGCCCAGAAGTTGAAGTGTTGTCAGTCTGGACGTACTAGCTCCTCCGGATGAGGAACGTCAAGCAGAAGATGGATGATGGTCGACGAGTTCAACGACTGCAGTATGTTGGGTTGGTTCAAGTTACGATGTTACATTTCCCCGCAAAGACGAAAGGACTGCGGGAGGTGAAGCGACTCCACATCATGATCCCCAATCTGACATTTCGAACCACACCTCCTCAGCCTTGGTACATATGTCGTACCTTTATCTGGGTGTATTATAGAACTAAAGCACTTGTACCTTTCATTCGATATGAAGAAACTTCGCAAACTAACCTGATCATTAGTTTGCAACATGAGCCCTCATGTTAAAGCTCATGAACCGCATCAACATCGAAATCACTTAGATACAGTTTTCGCATCAGTAGGCATCTGCAGACACGAGCATCAACAATTCAGTTTTGATATCACGGGACACCCTGCCCAACCGGTCTGCGGCCTGCAATCACTCTTGTTCGATTTACTTTCATGCAGTGTTGCCTGCCATGGCGGCTTGGCAGGCAAATGATCCTTGTCGAGGCTCGAAGCGGACAACGACCTCCCACCTGCTTCCACACGTTCACGACTCATCTCAGTATCACCAATGATCTACGTCACCACGATAACCCAAGACGACCACCGACAGCTCGGAGTCTTCAAGCATCAAGATGAAGAGACAACGGCTTCAACCGGAAGACTATAATTTCGGGTGGATTTGCGCTCTTCCTGTCGAGCTCGAGGCTGCAACGAAAATGCTCGATGAAGCGCATAATGACATTCCTCAAGATGCGAATCACTCAAACCTGTACACCCTTGGCCGGATTAGCGGGCACAACATTGTCATAGTCTGTTTGCCAGCTGGACAGATAGGCACCAACTCCGCTGCAATAGTCGCCAGCCACATGATGTCCAAGTTCCCTTCAATACACTATATTCTAATGGTGGGTATTGGAGGGGGTGTCCCTAGCGTCGAGGCTGATATACGACTGGGGCATGTAGTGGTCAGCCAGCCACACCTCGGCCGTAGCGGTGTCGTCCAGTATGACCTCGGGAAGAGTACACCCAGTGGATTCGTACGAACTGGTTTCCTAAACGCACCGCCAGCCATTTTGTTAAGCGCGCTTTCAACTCTGCAAGCTGACTCTTCTGCCTGTCAACGAAGGCTCTCACAAAAGCTTTCTGAGTTCAGTCATGGCTGTCAGAATATAGGACTTGACCTCTTGTTCGAGTCTACCTATCAGCATATTGAAGGGTCAACTTGCGACAAGTGTAGCAACAGTCGACTAGTCTCCCGAGCGCCACGGGCTCATCAGGGACCCGTGGTTCATCATGGGACCATTGCATCCGGAAATCAGGTCATCAGAGATGGCACCACAAGAGACAAACTTAGCTCAGAACTAGGCGGCGTGTTGTGTTTTGAGATGGAAGCGGCAGGACTGATGAATAACGTTCCATGTCTTGTTATCCTAGGTATATGTGACTATGCCGATTCACATAAGAACAAAAAGTGGCATTCTCATGCGGCGGCAACTGCAGCTGTCTATGCTAGGGAACTTCTGTCAATCATCCCTACATTTTCTGAGCCGTCCTTCAAAGGCAGGCAAGCACCTGCCTTGCTTAAACTTCTACCAACAGCGGCTGAAGCAGCCTTCAACTCCTACAGCAAACAACACGATCTTCTTTGTCTCCCCAACACTCGAGTCGACGTACTTAATGAAATTTATGCATGGACTGAAGGTGAAGGGCATCAGTGCGTGTTCTGGTTGAACGGTATGGCAGGCACAGGCAAATCTACGATTGCTCGTACGGTTGCAAGAAGATTCAGCGAGCTCGGCAGACTAGCGGGTAGCTTCTTCTTTTCCAGAGGTGGCAAAGATGTCCATGACGCTAGACTGCTCTTTACAACTATCGCGAGACATTTAGCGGACCTCTCGCCCATCCTGGGTCGGTATATCTCCGAAGCGATCGCTGCTCGAGAAGAGATCGCCTCCCAGACCTTCGGCGATCAGTGGACACAACTGATCGTAGGACCGCTCTCGAAGCTCAGCGGCAGGATGGTCCAGCAATCACTTATCATTGTTCTTGATGCGTTAGATGAATGCGAAGGAAATGACGACATCAGGCTATTGATTCGGCTCTTATCCGAGACGAACAGCACGAGCGCTGTTCGGTTAAGAGTGTTGGTGACTAGCAGACCGGAATCAGCTATACGCCACGGATTTCGCTCCATGCCAGAGAGTCTGCACCACGACCTTATTCTTGACGCTATTTCTCAAGAAGTCGTTGACCATGACATAGCGGCATTCCTTGAGGTCAAATTCAACGAAATGAGAGAATCTTTTGCGTATCTCCCCATAGACTGGCCGGGAACTGAGACGATAGATTCCCTGGTCCGGAACGCTGGCGGCTTATTCATCTACGCAGCGACCGTGTGTCGTTTTATTCTCACGAATAAGAAGTGGTCACCTCAGAGATTGTTGAACCTATTTACTGCACAGCACACACCAAGTCTCTCAAAAGGCAATTCTCGTAAGCTCCCATCACTATCGCCGACTGCGGAGCTCGACATGATGTATTTGCAGATTTTGAAGCACTCCATGCAAGGCATTGAAGATTATGACGACCGAGCGGAACTCGCGGACGAGTTTAAGCAAGTGGTTGGCGCTATTGCGATCCTCCCAGAACCACTCTCTCCTACAGCACTAGGAAGACTCCTAGATGTCGACCAGGAGACAATTCACATACTAATAGAGGGCTTGCGCTCGGTCGTCAGCGTGCCCGATGACCCGATTTTACCACTCCGTTTGTTGCATTCCTCCTTCCGAGATTTCCTGATTGATGAAAACAGGTGTAATGACCCACTATTCTGCTTAGACGAGAAAGAAGCGCACCGTACTCTGACTGAGTCTTGTTTGCAACGACTTGAGTCTCCGACAGGCCTCAAGAAAGATATCTGCAGCTTAAAACAGCATGACTCACTCGCAGCAGACCTTGACAAATCTACTGTATTGCAAAGTCTTCCATCTCACATACAGTATGCATGCCTATATTGGGCCCATCACCTTAAGAACATTGGGCAAGATCTTTCTGAGGGCGGTCATCCGCATTTGTTCCTACAGCACCACTTCCTTCATTGGCTCGAGGCACTAAGCGTGATTGGAAAACTTGTGAACGGAGTGCATGCAATCGACTTGCTTGAATCCATGGTCGACGTAAGTTTGAGCTCAGCAAAGCTGATCCTTCGGAATTAACACCATCTAGGACGGTAGCAGCCCTCATCTCTACTCCTTCATCCGTGACGCTAGGCGATTCCTACTATACAACAGGTCAACCATTGAGAAAGCGCCCCTCCAGGCTTATTGCTCTGCCCTCATATTCGCGCCGCAAAAAAGCCTAGTTCGCAAACATTTTGTGAGCGAGATACCTCGTTGGATTAGGCGGATGCCAGAAGTTGAACAAGAGTGGAGTTCATTGCTTCAGACTCTCGAGGGGCATTCTGGCCGAATTCGTACTATTGTGTTCTCATCGGACGGCCAACTTCTCGCTTCTGCTGGCTATGACCGGAAGGTTGTTATTTGGGATACGAAAACCGGAGCTTTCTGCAGCAGGCTCGAGGGCCACTCGGATTGTATTCTTACTGCTGTCTTTTCTCCTGATGGAAAATCGCTTGCCACCGGCTCAGCGGACAGGACTAGCAGAATCTGGGATGTTGGAACAAGGAAACCACTTGTTGTTCTTAACGGCCATACTGCCTCAATTTACAGTGTGGATTTCTCGCCGAGTGGTTTACTCTTGGCGTCTGCATCAGGCGACACAACAATCAGACTGTGGGGTACAAAAACCTGGCAGATACGAGCTATACTCAGTGGTCATGAAGAATCAGTTCGAACGCTGAAGTTTTCGCCCAATGGCGAACTAATTGCATCTGCAGCAAAAGATGGGGTTATCAGAATCTGGGATCCACAGAACGGGCAGTGTGTTCACAGTTTTCGAGCTCAACTGGAAATCACGCCCTCACTTGCTTTCTCACTAGATAGTCAAGTGCTATTTTCCGCCTACCCTTATGAGATCATGCAGTGGGAAGTGAAGAGATGGACTTGCTTGCGTAGTGTCGAAACTTCTGGGAAGCACTTGGGATTTACACTAGATGGAAGGTATGCTGCCTCCTACACGGAAAGTAGCAAGATTTGTATCCATGATGTGTTAACAGGGATAAGATGTGGCGCCTACGAAATTCACCGGGCCGATATATCCATCATAGCATTCTCACCAGTCCAGAAGCTTCTAGCATCGGCCTCGTATGGCGCGAGCATTGAGCTTTGGGACACAACGGTTGAGGGATGCCTCGAAACACATAGGAGCCATTCGGCGCGAGTTGAGGCAGTTTCCTTTTCTCCAAACGGCAAGAAATTCGCCTCGGTATCGTTCGATGCGACTGCCAAGATATGGGACATGAGTACCGGGGAATGCCAACGCACGCTCGCAGGCCATTCATCTGTGGGCGGCTTGGTATTTTTCTCTCCGGATGGCCACTTATTCGTGACTGATTTACGGGACAATGTTAAGATTTGGAATCCCGAAAACAGAGAATGTCACGCCACTGTTAAGCCAAATTTTAGCGCTACGGTGATCGTTTGCTCAACAGATGGCCTGCTCCTTGCATGCTCATCAAAGAGTCAGAATGTGAATATCTGGGATTTAGGCAGCAGTACTCTACTCAGTACTTTGGAAGGCCACTTGGATATTGTTTATTCACTAGCATTTTCTCCTGACGGCCATACCCTCGCCTCGGGTTCTTACAACAAGACCATCATATGGGATGCACATTTGGGGACCTCACGCATCATTCTTGCCGGTAGGGGAGGCTACGTATATTGTCTCGCATTCTCGACCGACAGCAAATTTCTTGCCTCAAGTAGCGAATATGGAGTCACATTATGGAACATACACACTTCAGAACAGATCCTGACTCTTGAAGTTAGAAATATCGATCAAATCTCCTTTTTCCGTGGCGGACTCTATATACTGAAAGAAGACAAAATTCTTGCGCTCAAATACGCTTGCCACTTGCCTGTTGAGAAAGAAGAAGAAGAAGAAGAAGAAGAAGAAGAAGAACACGACGACGACGAAGACTCACTACAGTCCCGAGCAACAAACCGCTGGAAGAACGCGAAGCTGTTTACTGTTTTGGAATTTCCTTCAGAATACCGGGGGAGATATGCTGTTAATGGCAATGTAATTGGTATGGGTCTTGAGTCCGGTCGAGTCACCTTTATGGAAGTTGACCTGGATAACGTGCCACTAGGTGCAGCCACCCTAGGTATAGATTAGAAGTCGCAAGTCATCCTTAAATAGGGTTATCATATGAAATAACGACTTTCAATATAACAAGATAACTACAACAGATTGCGGATGAAGCGAGGACACAACTTGAGAATAAAGTGATCAAGACTTTCAGCTTATAGCAGAGGGCATAGTCAAACTATTCAAGCCACTGTTTTAGATGTAGCCAGAACCTAAGACACCATGTATGGGAAGCCCCGGAAACCAGTGTATAAATGGCGCCGTCGATTATGGCAACTTCAGCAGGCTTCGACGTCAATTGATTCAACGTTCTTGCCGAGTTTTCACCAATGGAAACCTGAACATCAGGCCGCGTCTTCGAAAGAGATCACCATCCCTCAACGGACAACATCCTCATTAGTCTGATTCATCGGTCCGGCTCATTGGCCTACTATATTTACTAAACTTCCCGTTCCGCGTTAATCGCTGAAAGACGAAATACGGGTGACTTCCAGTTTCCTCTTTCTCGCCTGTTCCCTGTTTTTTACCTCTTCCTGAACGCCAGCTTGGACGCTCGCAACCAACCAATATATCTGTATGACGCGAATCAGCTGTCTAAGACTCTCATTGACGTGGATCAAACTCCAATGGGGCATGGCTGAAATGTGTTTTTCACATTACTTTATGTGTTAAGTTGGATTATTTATAATTTTCATAGATTATACCTCACATGTAGCCCGAAAATCATATCAGAAGAAAGAAGGAAACCAATGTTCTGTGACCCTACGCGATAACACGCGCTTCTTCCAACGCGCGATGGAGCGACCTGGAGAAAACCTATTAAAGAAACATGTCATCGTTCTTCACCAAGGGACAAAGTGATAGCCCAGAGAAGCACATCCCTCATTCCTCTCGCCATTAATTTCGGATCAGTATGTGGGTGACTTCAGGCATATTGTCTCAATTCTCTTACGAAGAATAATCAGCCTGGCTTTCTCCCCCATACAAAGTACAATGGTATGTAAAGATGCGCTCTGGGGTTTCGTAGTTCGATCTTGACTCGTTCAAGAATGGCATGTACTTCTTCGGCGCTGTAGCCAAGTACTCGGGTAAATAAAGCCAGGGTATAAGGCTCGGCAGAATTTGCGCAATGGGCTAAGAAGAATAGCCCAAGCTCTTTGTTTCTTCGTCCTTTTGCCCAAGGACCGATCGGGAGCTAATGGAGTCTAGTAAGTAGCTGTTGATATGCTATAGGATTTCTTTCTGCGTACCTTATAAATCTCTTCGCGAACATCGAGAAATCCTGCCTCCTCCATATACCCCTTTAGTAGATGGATGATCCGAGATGGCTTTCCGATGGCTGATAATCCATCATTCAGCTTGTCGAGCCAGTCCGCCATATGCGGCACATGAATCTTGCCACCATCGTCAGACTGCACGTCGGTTGGGCGCTCTTGGATCTCAAGGATGCCACCAGGGTTAAGATTGTTAAATGCGTTAGAGAATAGCTTTCTCCAGTCAGAAATGCTTCCGAGTAATGCTCTACCATGGATATAGTCAAATCGCTCCGCGGGAGGATAGGTCCATTCACGTTCGATGTCGTCCACGTAGAATTTGCAGTTTGGAGGGACCCATGAGGGCTGTATCGGACTGAGATCTGTGCCAATCACGACCGCCTCTGGCCAGTCGTCCGCAAAAGTAATGGTCCAAAGTCCTGTACCGCATCCCATATCGAGGACTCTCTGTACTCTGAGGCTTTCATGTAACGGCGCTCGGAAAATAGCCCCACCAATAGCCATTCGGCAAATGTGATGCATCATGTCCAAGCGTTCCTGTTCCTTTTCGTCATTTGGCAGGAGATAATTGCCCTCGCGATAGGCATGGTACCGACGACCGTTCTCGTATGTGTAATTGAGAACGGATGAAGCTAGTGATGCTGAGTAGAATGACCCTGCCACAGACTCGCCGATGGCAGAGTCGGTGTCACTCGCATCGGACTTTCAAAGAGGTTAACGAAGATGGATCTCAGCAAGCAGTTCCACCACTCACATCGGGTACCAGAGGTGCACCCTGGGTCACAGAAGTCTGTTCGATAGGAATGTCTTCTGATGTTTCGATCATCAGAGAAGACATTGCTACTGAGCCAGACTGATAGAGCAACGATATCTTGTTTGTAGGGATGGTCGATTGGATAAAGTTCGGCGTCAAACTCTATATATCCTCTACGCTGTTTCAGGTCTTGGCGGGGTTTAAAGTTCAACCAGCTTTTAGAGAGGTTTCGGGCGCGGGGTTGATATGGCAACTTGAAGCCATTGAATGATCTTAGCGGTATTATGTGTCAGTGACCAAGGCAAGAGAGGGCATAAGCATTTTTGGATGCCACGACAACAATACTTTGTCAGAGGTGACAGCTGGCAGAGAAATGTAGGCACATTTCTGGAAGAATAGTTGCTCTTTTGTCCAAATTTATTTCGGGGTTTGCAAAAATTGTAAATGGTGTGGGCGGACTGTAAAACTCGCCCCAGTGAGCAGAGGTACAACAAGGTCAGTGCCGGTCGGGATGTCGAGCGTAAAATTTCAATACAACAAGTCAGCCATTTGCCAGAAAGCAGAGCACTGGGGGCACTCAAGGTTTTTGGGCCATACTAATCGTGTGCATCAATTTGTCCGTGCATTTTCACTTAAGAGAGATTCAAATTCACCATTTCCAAGCTTGTGCGTGTCTGCAGATGTAGTCCGGGCGAGGAGATCTTCTCGAACAGACTCCATGTAATATAAATCCCCTGCGACTGCAAATAAGTACACAATCCAACTGGCAGCAAGGATCCATTCACACGGCGCTGCGATTTTGACTAGTGTATTGCAGGTGGAACCTGGGTCCAACACAGTCAGTATATCCCGGCACCCATATATACCAATCGCTGCGAGTATAGACATTGCTAGAACCGTCATTAGTGTTAGAAGCCGACTTGATGGTGGCAACTTACGTGCGGCTATGCAGGCAGCCACTTCCTTCCAAAACAGTGGACGGAGAATGTATCGACTTTTGGGGGAGTATTTCAGTAAGATTCTTGTTTGGATCCAGTCAAAGAACCTTGTTCCGCCGGTAGCGATGATTGATATCGACGTAAAAAGCAGGTGCAGATTTGCATATTCTTCAACTCCGTAGAAGCTTAGAAGCACAAGAAAGACAGACGATGTCCAAGCTGCCCCAGCTTTTGCATAACGCCAGTTGCGCGCAGGCAGTATATTCCTGCAGAGATAGAGGTCGAGGTTGAAGGTCACCACATTGCATGCCGCAACAGCGATGGAAAACCCTCTGAATGCAGAAAGAAGCTCTTCTCCAACACTGGACACATACGGAAATGTTGCGTACGATCGATTAATTCGGGGAAGGACACCCTCATATCTGGGTAAGGTCAAGTAATAGATCAGGAAGTATGTCATCATGGTCATCCAACACATTGCAGCCGCTGTTGGTATAAGAGACCAGAAAATTGCACGGTTCTGGAGTATCCATGTTGAGATACGTTTTATCATAGACGAGGACTTCCGTATCCCTGTGGTGCGTGCTTGTTGGTTCAAGTCAATCTTCCGTATCGACAGACCATCTTCGGACCGCTCCGTATCGTTGAGGTATCTTGGAACGAGTTGTTGCTGATCAAGAGAGTCCATATCAATACTGCTCCTAGGTGTGATAGATCTAGGCGTGATTGAACCGGGTGTGATAGTGCCAGGCCTAAGATATCTTGTGCCGAGGTGGTGCCGGTCTAATGACTCCATCTCGACACTGTATCTAGGTGTGACGGAATAAGGTGTTATGGAACCGGACATATTGTTCCTGGACTGCAATGGAATTAATGGACAATGTTTAATGGGCGCATCCGAAAAAAAGCTGTCTCATATGTACTGTCGATACCGAAAACAAAAGTAAAATCAAGCTGTTCGGCTTCGACACTAGTGCTGCAGCCTCGCAAATGTCTACCTTTAAGGCAAGGCTCTGCTACCGACTGCGGGTCGAGGGGCCCCAGCCCAAATATCCACCCAATTTGATATACCATCTTTTCCCTCGCATACTGACCCGAAATCAGAACTACACCCGATCAGATATGCTCCATGACTGGAGTTTTACCTTGCATTGCGCATGGGGGTTATTTTCCAAATCGCTGCTAAATATATTGGATTCTCCACAAATTCCAATCTAACTGTCAGCTTCACATTATGCCAAACACCACATTGTACAGAATCGCTTCACTTAAGCCTCAGGCCTGTCACTCCGGGTGAAATGCTGTTGCAACCCTAAGTTTGGTAGCTCGAGGATGCTACCAAGTACTGACTAATGGTGTAGAGATATCTTCATTCGATAATCCGCCCCATAATGCCGTTGCCTAATAGATTTACTGAACTGTCCATATCAATACCATCACCCGTTTTCTAAGTTTTATGGGGCTCGGTGGGTCGCAAATGGGCCTTGTCTGAGACACTCTGCACATGGATCGCCGCTCGAAAGAGGCAGCTGTACTTTGAGCAAGGCGTCCACCTCACTTCGCGGTGTTTGCAAGGAGTCCATTGAGTAAACGAGATGAAGAGTTTGTTAGTCGACTTAGAGGCCGCTGTGTGTGATGCTGCTATTTCTGAATCTCGAATGGTGCTTTTGCCCCCTTCTCCACGTGCCACAGCATACATTTGGTCAATTTTAGTCGCCTTTGCAAGATTTGCTGGTTGTCTCAAGTTTCGCCTCCTCTACTTAGACTTGAGACCGACGTTCTTCCTCACAAACCCTACTACGCTCCCCTACTTACGTAGACTGTTTCCGACTAGTCGTGTGGCATGAGGATGTATCTAGCACTGTTCATTGTGTCAAGTTTTACGCTATTAGTACATGCAGCAATATTAACACCCGACAAATTCGTCATACCCGTTTTCGAACATGACACTGCACGGCGACTGAAAGATGTAGCGAGCAAACGGCAAGGCTACCTCTACGGGCCATCTCCAATGGGAAACCTGTCATTCTTCCCAAGTGGGCTGCTCGGAGACAGACTCGTCCTCAACAACCTCATAGCGTCTGGAGAGGATAACGCTGCCGCCACAGATGCCGTCGATGCAGATATGAGGGAGGCTCTAAGAGGAATCAACAGAGTAAGTCTTCACTCACTCGGTAGCACGCTCGTGCTAATGCCACTTCTAGACTATGGAAATGAGAAGTCTCGAGGACTATTTCTATTTATATGAAGGCCATTGGAACAGCTCAGCCCCTTTAGGCACAGCAATGGGAGCCCTTTCCAATGGTTCATTAGATCTACAGTTCTCGATGGAAAGGCTGTCCTCAAGCCCCTACTCTCTGCATCGCCTACACCCTGTCAACGATCAACTTCCATTTCCTCTGGATCCTGCTTTGGCAGTCAGTATTGCCGGATTGGATCTCGAAGAATTACATAGCGAAGGACGGCTCTTTCTTAGTGACCACTCCCCTCAGTTGTTATTTCCAAAGACCGAACGCTACTCAGCAGCATGTTCAGCGTACTTCTTCATCCATCCAGATAGCGGCGAACTTTTACCCCTCGCAATAAAGACAAACACCGACCATGATCTGGTGTACACACCACTTGACGCTCCGAGAGATTGGCTGCTGGCTAAGATAATGATGAACTCTAACGAAGTGGTGTTCAACCAAGTTCATTATGTCGCGGCTGCGCACGCTGTGCAAGAAATTGTGTACCTCGCAGCGCTGAGAACATTACATGACAGACATCCAGCGCTGGGGCTTATGGAACGCTGTAAGTATAAGTAGTCGACTGTTGTTCAAGTTCTGATATCATTACAGTCTTCTACAACGGGTACACTACACGTGCGAGGCCAACAAATGTGCTCACCAATGAAGGAGGCATCTTTGACAGATATTTCTCCATCACGGGCGAAGGGGCTGAACAGGCCATGTCATTCTACTATGCTTCTGGAGCAGGTGCGTTCCAAGCGAACTACTTTATCAACAACCTTGAGAGTCGAGGTTTAATCAATTGCACATATGGCCCGGCATTAAAAAGCAATCCCTTTTTCCAAGATGCCAGCCAAATAGTCCTTGGGCTGCGCAGATTCGTCACATCCCTTGTCTACTCTTACTATAAGAGCGATGACATTGTCACATTCGATTATGAGTTGCAAGACTGGGTGCATGAAGCTACAGCCTCAGCTCAAGTGATAGACTTTCCACAAGGGCGTCTAACCAAGCGCGAGACACTCATAGACATGCTCTGCCACTTTGCATTTCTTACAGTAGTCCACAATACACTGAATGGGGCATCTCCCTTCAGTGTGTCGTCGACTTTACCATATCACCCGGTAGCCCTCCATGCTCCTCTACCGGCGACAAAGGGTGTAGAGAATATCCTTCCATGGCTACCTAGCAAGACGGCTGCGGTTAATGAGATTGCAGTGTTTGCAAAGATGAACAAACCATTTGCAAGCTTGGAGAACAAGACATTCATCCATACCCTTCATGAGGATGCTTTTCTTGGTCGTCTAAATGAAGAAAGCAGAGCCGCGGAACAAGCTCTGTGGGAAGAGATGGAGGCTATCAGCCAAAGGATCAGAGGGAAAGGGTTTGATAAGAACGGGCTCAGCGAAGGTATGCCTTTTCTATGGACGATATTAGATCCTGCAACCATGCATGGGTGATGGATGCTTGGGCTTCGGACTTGTACTGGCCGAGGGCCATCTGAGTTAGCCGTTAAAATCTACCCCACAAAGAGGGTCGCAGCTTCCCCGCGGCAAGATCTGAACCATGCCGAGGAAGGTGCCAACGCCCGGCACCGGTCCGCCTCCCGTGCCCTCAGCTACGAGGTAACTACGAGTACCTGGTTAATTATCACCAACTTCGACTTTTACAAGGACTAAGACTGCGTTAATGTTATCCTGCCACTCTTCTACAACTAAAAATATGGACCGGTAACACAACTTACACATATATTATAACTTCCCCTCTCGAGGAACATGATAAAGTCATGCGGGGAATTCTTCGACCCCAGGCATGGTCTCGATGGCCTGCCCGCACTTTCTCAAAACACTCAACAGCACCGCCTTTGAGACGCGGTCTACTCACAAGCGCCTACATCAAAGGTCCCTCAGAACCTGCATTACTCGAGGAAACCGTCGGTGAGAATTTCGCACGCATCGTGGGTGCTCATGGCGATCGCAATGCCGTCATTTCCCGACATCAACAACGTCGGTTGACCTACCACCAACTCGACCAGGACAGCAATGTTGTGGCTAGGGGACTGCAAAGCTTGGGAATTAAAAAGGGGGATCGTGTTTGTGTCTCGCTAGGGAACAATCTCGAGTTTGCCACCATTACATACGCCCTGTTCAAGCTCGGCGCCATCCTTGTCCCGCTGAATCCTGCCTTCACCTCGACTCAGATCATATCGGCGCTCAACCATTTGTCGTCCACACATCTGATCATTGGGGCCGAGACAAACCTCCCATACAAACCTCCGCGATCCAATGTCTCTCTCCTCCAAGGATTGGTCCCAGATCTTTCGACGACGACCCTTTCATCCGAAGCGATCCCATCTCTAAAGAATATCATATTGGTGGACAATTCGGCTGGTAGGATAGATCCCACAACATTGAAAGCCACAACACCGTGGTCGTCAATAAATCAGGACTCTGATACCTCAGCGCCGACACCTTCTTCACCCTTATCCAACACCGACCTTGTCAACATTCAGTTTACCTCCGGCACAACATCAATGCCCAAGGCCGCATGTCTATCACACCGGTCTATCCTCAATAATGGAAATCAGATCGGTGATCGCATGCTACTCACACCAGAAGACGTTGTAGTCTGCCCGCCACCACTATTTCACTGTTTCGGTTGCATCCTTGGCTACATGGCCACGGCTACTCATGGGTCCGCAATCGTCTTCCCCACAGAAGCATTCAATCCCATGGCTGCCCTTCAGGCCGTTCAAGAAGAGAAAGGAACCGCCCTATATGGGGTGCCCACCATGTTTCTCGCCGAACTTGAACTGATCAATGATGAGGCAATTCCATACGAAGGGTTCCAACACCTCCGAACTGGCATTGCTGCAGGCTCCTCAATCCCAGCAGAATTGATGCGCAAGCTCCATAAGACACTCAATTTGACCGAACTTACAATCTGCTACGGTATGACTGAAACTTCGCCCGTTTCCGCCATGACTACGACCGATGACCCAATCGAGAAACGCATCAATACTGTCGGCCGTCTCTTGCCTCATGTTGAGGCCAAAGTAGTTGACCCATTTGACCATAACAAAGTTCTAGAGGTTGGCGAAAGGGGCGAGTTGGCAGTAAGCGGCTACCTCGTGATGAAGGAGTACTGGGGTCAACCCGAGAAGACTGCCGAAGTCATGTTAACGGACGACTCCGGCAAGCTTTGGATGCACACGGGTGACGAAGCCTCAATTGACAAAGACGGTTATGTCAGTATTACAGGCAGGATCAAGGATTTGATAATTCGTGGTGGCGAGAACATTCATCCTCTGGAAATCGAGAATTGTCTCTTCGCACATCCAAAGATCGCCGAAGTCAGTGTGGTAGGCCTACCGGATGAACGATATGGTGAGGTCGTCGCAGCATTTGTCATTCATAGACATCATCATCTACATCCCGAGGAGAAGGAAGTAACGGTTGAGGAGGTCAGAGAGTGGGTGAAGGAACGCATGAGCCATCATCTCGTGCCCAAATATGTCTTCTTTGTACACGAGTACCCGAAGACAGCGAGTGGGAAGATTCGTAAGTCCAAGCCCTATCTTGTTTCTCCATGACAAACCCATGTCTGACATTGTTTTGGTAGAAAAATTCAAGCTGCGTGATACAGGCATTCAGCTATTGAAGGACATAGAAGCGAAGAAACAGTCATGACAAAAGCATTCGTCGGTATCGTCGGCTTCGAGTCATTATTTACAATTGGAATATATCCCCGGGAAGATCGATCTCCCTGACTATAATGTTTGGATATGATCTGATCTCGTTGATCTTGCATTGCAGATGCGATCATTCATGGGGCGTGGTGGGGTGAATAAACACCGTGGAGATATCCATTGGGTATGTCCTTGTCTTTCTGAGGTTGCGCTATCATCCGGTAGTTTTGCACAGCTCGGCATGAGCAGCGTCAGGGACGCGTGGACATTTCTGATACCAGAGGTGGTACGTCCAGAGTCGCCAGGCATGGATCTTGGCAATAGATGTATATATGAACACAAGAATTGTCCAATTGAATCGATTCGACCTCCGTGACCATGGTGCTCGGAGCGAAATCTGACTGCTGGGTCGCATTGCCAGAGGTTGGTAAGCGACACAGGGTTCGAATTTGCCGTCCATTATCACCTGTAATAGCTCTTTCACATCGGCATTAATGGCCATGTTCATGTTTTCGTGTCCTCTCCCATTGGTTCTGGTTGGGATGACTATCATCGTTTCGTTCTTCGCTCGTCATCGCCATCATGATCACGCTTTCTTCGCTCTCGATCCTCATCCCCATCACGATGCCGGTAGGCATCGCGATCTCCAGATCTCTCCGATCCTTTCTTGTCGTCCCCTTCTTCGTCCCTCCTCCTGTGATGATGGTGATGGTGATGTCGATGCTTCGACTTGTCCTTCCGCTCCGCCCTCTCTTTCGCCCGTTCAACCTCCTCCCGCTTCTCCTTGATCAAATACTCGCGCATGGGATCTTCATCTTCGCCTTCACCCTGCGTCACCGCCAACATCTCCTGTAACTCCCGCTCCTCTTTCAACAGCGGCTTCCTCCTCTTCCGCCGTCTTTCCCCATCATCACTCTCCTCCGTCTCATCCCCACTCCTATCAACACTCCCACCCCCCTCCTCTCGCGCCTGCAACGCCTCCAACCGCTCCAACCTCCACGTATCCGCATCCTCATCATCCCGTAATTTATACCTCGTGTGATCGACCCTCAAAACCCTTCCCAAAACATCCGCACCCCCAAGATTGTCCACCGCGAGATCACAGCTGCGCTGGTCTTCGTATTTCAGGAATGCGAACCCTTTGCTCTTGCCCGTCTCTTTGTCGCGCATCAGCTGTAGATGTGTCGGATTGCCGTACTGCGAGAATATTACCGCGATGTCGCCCTCTGTGAGACGGTTGTCGAGTCCCCCGACGTAGATGTATGCGGTGTCCCGGTAGTCCGTGTGCCAGGAAGCGGTCACTGGCGTCGCGTTCTCGAGTTCGCGCTTGTTCAGCGCTTGCGTTGCGCGGATGGCGTTCATTGTGTCTCGTGTTCGGATGGGGTGCTGTAGTATGGGTTGAGTTGTGGTGCAGGGAGAGTGGGAGGGTAGCCTGCGGAGGAAGAAGACGATTATGTTGGTATCAGGCTAGAGAACGGAGATCACTGCATCGCAGAGAGTGTAGTCACAATGAGATCGCACTGCGCAGCAGAGACAGATGACTTGAGAGATTTATCAGTACCTCCGAATCAGAACAGGATTCTACCTAGGGAAAAATGAATGAGATTGTTTGAGACAATGGAGAATCTTTCTGAGGCCGCATCTTAGAGTCTTTGGAGATTTCTTTGTTACTCCAACTTAGCCTCATCGGCGATCAGGCTGCGTCTGCGCCCAATATATAAAGTGGCGGGATTATTAGCCTTAGAAGGGCGGATCAGTCGCTGCCACACTGATGGCTGTTCACAATAGACAGGAAATGTAGTGGTATGAGGAGTACGCAAGGAGTGGCATGTTCTAGGCTAGGAATAATGGAGTGTAGGACTCGACTATCTACTGTAGGTGGCAAACCTAGGGACTTGGCGCCAAGGCCCAATAGGATCCCCCCTTCTAGTTTTAATACTCTCATACCATTCGTAATGCCGTATCTCGAAATCGTTAAATTAGGATTAGTAGTGCTCAAAGGGATTCTTATATATTTGGCCTCGCTATTGCGGGATCTCGTGCGGTTCGTTGGAGTGTAGAAATAACGGGATATAGGTATATATAGGTAATTATAGTAGGTAGGAATCTTAGTGCTTCGTTAATAGGGTTATAGTAATTATAGAGAGCTATAACGTCGTTAATAGTTCTAAGGGTATTAGGGAATTCGTTAAGCTATAGCGATTAAGCTCTTTAATACGATTATTAGTAGGAATGTCTATATAGTTATACTATAGTTATTATAGGATATTAGGCTAAATTATAAGCTCGGTAAATATATCGAGATTAAATTCTATATTCTCTAATTAATTCTAGGAAGATCTCGTATTATGATTATAGGCTCCCCCCCCTTTCTAATCTAACTAATTTAGGTGATCTTCATTTCGTAGATTCTTAGGAGATTAAGTTCGCGAAGAAAGAGTTCTTATTTAGTATCCTTTTTAGAGATCTCGTCCTATTCCTTATCGCGATTATCGTTCGTAATGTAGTCTCTAGGCTCCTCTTCTTTACTATCTATACTATTTAAGTGGTGACTAGTATTCGACTAGCTATTATTATCTAATTTACTATTTACGATTTCGATATCTATAATTTCGCTATCTAAGTGTTATGATCGGAACTGCGAACAGTGTCTGACCAAGGGGTTTCCTTGATAGGTGGATACGGGATGGTGAATGAAGTATGAACGAAGAGAACTTAGTTCCAAATTATCCTAAATGTAGGTATAGGATTGTTAACGAAGTTGACTACAAGTAGTCCTATCTAGGGTAGTGAGCGTGTATATATACTGCTAGCGTGATCAGTGTGATCAGTACTGCTCACTTGCTGAGCATACTGATCACCCCTGATCAGGTGAGGTCACGTGGCTTAGCCTTGCCTGGCTCAGCCTGACTCGGGAGACTTGCCTATCGCGTTCCCCGCACCGAGCTTGGCTTGACCTTATGGTGACTTGGTTCGTAACACTCGCCCCTCCCTTCTGTTTCGTCGTCTCGACGTACATAAGGTGTGTTGTCCCCTTCCTGCCTTGTTTCCCTTTTCCTTTCCATGGCTAATCATGCCTCAGTTTCGCGCTTCTAAAAGTGTCCGTTCCTCCACTCAACGCCGTCAAATCCTTGTCGCTCGCATCGAGTCGTTCGGTGTCCCAAAATTAGACATGGGTCGTTGCACTCCTTGCCAAAACGCCGGAACCATCTGCCTGATGCTCGATGGTTATTCCAAGTGCTCGTCTTGTGTGAAGAAGGGGGTGTCTTATTGTGATGGGGTATTTTCTGCGGAGGAGTTTGATGCGTTGACCGCCCAGCGCAATCGTTTAGCCGAGGCCGCTCGACGCAAGGGGGAGGAGATTAAAGAGATGTTGGCCGAGGCGGCCCGTGTGCATGCCAAAATGTTGGCGGAAGTATCAAAGGCTCATGAGGAGAAAGAACGGCTCCATCATGATGCGGATGTTTTGCTGGATAAACAGAAAAAGATGTTGATTCGGGAAGCGACCGCCTTGGATGAGATCGATCATCTTGAACCACCCCCCGTCGCTTCCTCCACTGTTTTTGTTGGTTTGGATGATGCTCAATTGGAGCAGATGTTTGAGTTGGAGCCTGGTTCCATGGCTGATTTTTCCGGTCCTATCCTTCTCGACCGTCCTTTGGCTCGGTGAATTATGGGATTGGTCCGTCATATGTTTGGTGGAATTTCTTTCTTGCGGCTTCTGGTACCTCTTCGTACCTTAGCCAGCGAGGAGGTTCGCCTGGTTTGGTCTGTATTTCGTAACTTCCCATGCCAAAATCACATGGATCGTAATCCACGATCTTTATTTGTTCGGGGAGTTTCGGATTTGGTTTTTGTTTCTGGTGGTACTGGGCCACAAGTTTTGGATTGAGGTTAGTTGTTGGTTCCCATGTGTTTTCCTCGTTCGTGTATCCTAACCATTTGATCAGATATTCCGTTTGGTTGTTTTGTCGACGATGCTGAAGAATCTTCTCCACATCGTAATATGGCTCTTGGGTGTCTTCATCGATATGGACTGGTCCAGGTCGTGCATTGGGTGGTGCTTTTTCTAGCAATGATTTATGAAAAACCGGGTGAATGTTCATTCCTCCTGGTAATTGCAATTCATATGACACTGGTCCCAGTATTTTCCTGATTCGATATGGTCCGATTTTCGTGTTGTCGAGTTTTTTGCTTGGTCTTTGTGTTTTGATATTTTTTGTACTGACGTAGACCATCTCTCCCTCCTGGAAGTCTGGTCCCTCAGATCTTTTCTTGTTGGCTGTTTTTGTTGTTGTTTTTGCTATTTTGTCCAATTTTGTTTTTAGTAGAAAATGTAGTTCATTTAACTTGTCCACGGTTATTTTCGCTTTTTCCGCCTTAGGTTTCAGTCCTAGGCTTTTTCTTGATAGTTCTGGGTGTCTCCCGTAATTTGCGAAGAAAGGTGATATTCCTGTTATTGATTTGTTGTTGTTAAATGCGAATTGTGCCATCGGTAGTAGTTGAACCCAGTTGTTTTGCTCATAGTTGACATAGCATCGTAAGTATTGTTCGATTGTCTGGTTCGTTCTCTCAGTCTGTCCATCTGTTTGTGGGTGATATGATGTTGACATCTTGTGTTTGATTCCCAATAGGTCTGTTAAGGATTGCCAGAATTGTGAATTGAATAGCTTGTCTCTGTCGGTGACAATAACATCCGGTATTCCATGTTGTGCAAATACCGTTCTTGTTATAGCGTATGCTAGGTCTTCTGCTGTTGACGATTCCTTGTATGGTAGAAGATAGACATACTTTGTCAATGTGTCGTTGATTGTGAGAATGCTGTCGTAGATCGTTCCCGTCATAGGTTCCTTTGATGGTGGTAACTTCACAATGAAGTCCATGGCTATTCTTGACCATGCCTTTTCAGCGTTTTCTGCCGATTGTAGTAGTCCATATGGCTTGTGTCTTGAGTGTTTGGCTTTGTGGCATGTGTCGCATCCTTTGATGTATTGCTCTACATCTTTCCTTAATCCCGTCCAGGTATAGTCTCGTGTGATGAGTTCAATGGTTTTGTCGATACCTGGATGTCCTGCTGTCTTCTCATCATGTCTTGACTTGATGATTTCTTGTTTTTCTTCTGTCGATGGTTCTTGTTCCATGATTGCCAGGGTTTCTGTTTTTGGTTTGTTGTATGCCAACCATTTCCCTATTCTCTTTAGTAGCGTGGCTGGCT